TGTCACATTGACAACTAGAAAAATTAATGACCCAATGTCACCAACTTGAACTGGTTCCATAAAATGTTACTAAAATCTCATTACAGCATCGGATGCTGTAAGGAGTCTCATTACAGCACCCGTTTGAGTACTGTCATAGCTTTCATTACCGTCGCGAATTACAAAAATTTTATTGTACCATTCGATAGAGTGTTTTTTCTCTTTACCACCGTATTTTTGTTTTTTTAAATTTTTTTTAATAACATTTTTACAAGAAAAAGCCGGTTCAAGTATTTACGAATAGTAGATAAGTAATTATTTGGGAGCACAAACAACCAGCGACGCCGACGGAACACTATAAAGTGGTAGCATGAATGGCATATTGTAGAAGAAATCAACCAATAATAGGAATCAAATCTATAAGGGCCGATTTACACCAGACGAGCGAATGCTCATTCTATACCCATTCTATCATATTCTGTTAGTGTAAACAGATGTATAGCATTCTTTCGTTGTTCTGTCTGTGTTCTCAAAGATTCTAGGGAATATTCACCGGCGAGACGATAGCAACAAACCGCTCAGCAACAAACTTTTTCCTTTATATTTCCATCTACTTTTCGGACGGATATCGTTGTTATTTATAACGCTAGCGAAAAACTAAGTATACGGTTGGAAAGCTTGGTCTTTTCTCTATCTTAAACCGAGTTTTCGTCCGCCGATATGTTGATAATGAGAGCAAGAAAAAATAAGAAACGTCGCGCTGCCACGAATTTTTGCCGCGGCTAAACCACGCTTGGGTCAATAACTCTCTTATATGACGGGGAGGAAACTCTAGAACTATATCCATCCTATGGGAAATTTTCTGCTCTTCATCGGTATATAACACATCACAATCACACGTTTGCACAATCGTTTTTCAGCCCAGCAACAAACTTTTCCCTTGTATTTCCGTCTACTTTTCGGGCCAATATTTTCGTTATCTAGAAAGATAGCGAAAAACTAAGCACACGATTGGAAAGCTTGGTCTTTTCTATATCTTAAACCATGTTTTCGTCCGCCGATATATTAATAATAAGAGCAGAAAAAAATAAAAAACGACACACTACATTTAAATCACCTTAAAATTGCCCCACTTTAAGGCTTTGTGCAGTCGTTATCAAAAGGAAATTCAACAAATGGTTTACTATTACATATTCGAAAAGAGCTAACCTTGGCCTGTCTTATTTCGAGGTTTCGTCCGGCAATATCTGCCGGCGTCTGTAAAAGAAACACACCTGAAAGACGACCTACAGGTAGCAGAGCGCAATCACTTCTTATCCTAACTTTCTTATTTGATGAAGGAAAAATTGGGACAAAGTTTTACCTGAGAGCGAATCCTAACTTCATTTCATATTGACAGATAATTTTTCATTCACTCTTAATTTATTTAAAACCGTTTAAAAACATATACATAAGTGCGAAGGCTAAGATGGCTACATAAGATGAATATAGTTCTAGAGTTTTTTTCCCTTCATATAAGAGAGTTATTGACCCAAGCTTGGTTTAGCCACGGTAAAAATTCGTGGTTTAGGTAGTTCATAGTCAGAAAAAAGGATTGTGTAAACGTGTGATCACGGTGTGTCACACATCGTTGGAAAGAGCAGGAAATATGTTCCCATAAGCTGAATATAGTTGTAGAGTTTTCTCCCTGTCAAATAGGAAAGTTGTTAGTGCAAGAAATATTTGCGTGTTTTCATCGGTAGGGGCTTTTTCAGGTGCGTTTTTCTTACAGACGCTGATAGATATTGGCGGACGAAAACTCGGAATAAGATAGTCCAAGGTCAGCTCTTTCCGAATATGTAAATCATTTATTGAATTTCCATCTGGTAACGGCTGCACAAGGCCGTTTGGTAATTCTGAGGTAAATTGAATGCAGCGCGACGTTTCTTATTTTTTCTTGCTCTTATTATCAACATATCGGCGGACGAAAACTCGGTTTAAGATAGAGAAAAGGCCAAGTTTTCCAACCGTGTGCTTAGTTTGTTGCTATCTTTCTAGATAACAAAGATATGGGCCCTAGAAGTAGGTGGAAATATAAAGGAAAAAGTTTGTTGCTGAGCGGTTTGTTGCTATCGTCTCGCCGGTCCACCAAACCACGCATACAGAAGGATGACTCTGTAAGTACGGCACCAGCCGGTTTTAGCTGCCTTCCTTATGTTTCAGGTGTAACGGAGTGGATTGCGAGGCGTCTGAAGAAGAATGATATCGTGGTACGATACGGTACGGTCAGCAAAATACAAAACGCTCTACCGATAGCCAACGACAAACTAACCCCATTAAAGGGAGCGGGAGTCTACCGGCTATCGTGCAGTTGCGGGAAATATTACGTTGGCCAAACTGGACGTAACATCGAGTGCCGCATCACGGAACACAAGAGGGACGTTCGACTGAGGAACATCCAACAATCTGTAGTTGTTGACACAGCATAGAGTTCGAGAAAACCAAAGTGCTGGAAGAAATGGGAATAACATGAATATAGAAGATGGTTGGGAACTCAGCCGCACATGGAAGATGCTAGTGAACTGAACGAAGCCTTCTCCACCCGGATTTGACAAAAATAACTTAGTTGACAATTATTGTCTGTTTCATGTAATTATTATCAAATTTTCACCGAATTCGTCACTTCGAACTTGTTTCTGAAGAAGGTTGCAACATTGCATTCGAAACGTCAAACATTTTTTCCAAAAACGCACGGCCTAACCCCAAAGTTTCTAGTTCTAGTGATAGTGTTAGTTTAATTAACACCGGCCGTGAAAGTCTTCGTACTTATAACACTTAACTAATATTTTTGAATGCACTACAAGTATATTTCACGTCATCAAAATCAAAGAGTGGTTTTTCAATAAACCCGAAAAAATAGGGGTAGTTCGCCCCCTTTTAACCCTCTGGTATATGTGTGATACACCAAAAGAAAGCTCTTTTAAAATGAATATCAGCTACAATTCACGAAATTTTGATAGCACTTTTCGTTTTCAAAATATAAGTGAAAACGTACTTTTTCTCCAAACTTTCAACTCCTATAACTCGCCCCACGGGCTTTTACCGTACCTATAAAAAAATGTACGAACCTTATTTTGGCCCATTCTATGACTACCAAATTTGATCTAAATCAGTGACACAGTCGTGACACTTCCCTTGTGTCGAGAAGAACAGTATGATCAACAAAGAACTCTATATTGCTCAGATGTACCCGATCCACAAGGCCAAATCATATTGCTTCATGATATCGCCAGGCCCCACGTTGCAAAAATCAACGGATTACCATCTTTTCCGCTCCCAGTCAAACCAAATGAGAGGCGTTACCTTCGACAACAAAGAGCACCTCAAAAACTGGCTTAACAACTTCTTCGACACCAGGACGGACGATTTCTGGCAAAACGGAATCAACAGATTAATCGAAAGGTGGTTTTTATAAACAAGCAAACGAATTTAGGCACCATCCCAATATTTAGTTATAAAATACAATTCGCAGACCAGAAAATAATATAAGGTAGTTAAAGAAAGAGTTCACAAAAAGAAGCCAAATCATGGGAATTTCTATAACTGCATCACGATACTATTGATTGAAAACACATAAGCTGCCCCCTTAATTTCGTTTATTAATAATAAATAAAAGGATTATAAAATAAAATATTGTATATGACATAATTAACATTACAAAATTAAGTAACAACAACACTTTCTTAAGAAAGTTTAAAAAGTAGTACCAAGAAATTTAAAAACCTCCTAATTACTATTGTATAATTTGAATCACGATATTTTTAGGATTAAAAAAACAAATTTGAATAAAAAGAATTTTTAATGACAATTATGTAGCATAAATAAAGACTAAAAACACATTCTAATAATTACACATACTTAAGCCATAATTACTTCTTATTAAAAAAGCTTGTAATCGACTTTTGATTTTGGGCAAGTTTTTGAATTTTTCCTTTTCCATTTTTCACTGTTCTAGGTGGAGAAACATTTTTGTTTTTAACCACATTATCTTGAACTTTACCTTTAATTTCTTTATTCTCATCATTTTGGTTATTTTGCTTTTCATCCTGTTCTTCATCTGATGCACTTTCATAAGTAAATGTATTAACAGTTTCTGTAAGAAAAAATCATGATAGTGTGTATATAAAAAGTAAATATGTTTGAATTACTAAAGTATCCATCACCATCTTCTACTAATTCAGTAACAGCTTTTCTAACTTTTCTTTTTGAGGGTACCACTAGTTTTGGTGGAGGAGCTTCTTGATCAGATGTTATTATATCTTCATCTTCACTCATTTTTTCATCATCACATGCAAACATATCTAAAGAAGTAAGATAATATTAAAAGAAATCTTTACCTAGATTAAAAATTTAGAACTAATTTACCATCACTGTCTGAGTCTTGAGTAATAATCCTTCTCCTTTTATTTTCTTGGTTCCCTTTATCTTTAGCATTTCTTTTCTTTCGTTTTTGTTTTGGGGTTTTGGTTTTTGGTATCTTTGACACTGGAACTTCTTCATCACTATCAGTATCGATTAATTTATGTTTTTTATTTAACTCGGTGGTGGTATTCTTTTTTAAAAGATTACTTTCATTCACTTGATGTAAGATATCAGGCTTCTTTTCTCTTGCATCTTGAATTGTGTTTTCTGGCTGTTTAATGTTTGGTTTGCTGGGTTGTTTACTAAGAAAACTAGCTATCAGATTTTTAGGTTTTGCCTAAAAATAATCATTTTAGTTTAATTATTAAAAATTAAAAAATTAATCAATACTTTTGGAGGAATTGGTGGTTTTACTGCTGACTTGTTCGTATCTTTTACAATAAAATTTGATAAACCACCATTTTTCTGAATTCCTTTATTACCCCTAGATTGTTCTTCATCTTTTTTAACTTCTTTTAATACTTCTTTTCTTGGAATATCTTTGGTTAACTTAGCTTTAAAATTTCGTTTAACAGCATTTCTACTTACAATAGAACCCAATCTAAACAAAACATACTGTAGTTTTAATCGCAATATAAAAATTCTCATGCAATGACTCACAAAGGTTTATCTCTCATAGAAAATGCTCCAATAGGTTCCAATATGGCTAAAGCATTCAATTCAATATCTTTACTTTTTTGTATACTATTAATAAATTCAGAAATAACATTTTTCAATAATTTTTTCTTCCCAATTAATTCATTTTCCTTAACAACTTCAAAACATACATTTCCAGCTGTATTTGTTCCAATTAAGACATAGGTTGCAGCTAGATCATCCCCTTTTGATTTTCTGGTGTCTTTTACATACTGTTCAATTAATGATCGAGCATCGCTTACATTTATATCCCATTTAGCGCTTAATAATGTTGGAGTAATCTTTAAAGGGAATTAAAAGTTTTAATGGAAACATTTATGATTGCAACTGTACTTACTATATCTCCATGGTCATAAACAAGTTCTTCGATTTTTTGTAAATATAAAGCAGTGTCTGAAGGATCCATGTTCTAATCGTATTAATTTTTAACAAGATCTAGGTTTTTAACACCGAATGTCACATCCATCATAAACGAATTTTGGCGTTTTAAGCGGGAGGGGTAAAAGTGAGGTTAAATTAGGTGAAATGAACCAAAATTTATTTATGCTAATAAAACATTTCACAAATTAAATCTTTCCACGTTTATTTCCACAAATATACGAACCAATTATCAATAAATTTATACCAAAGATTAATTTTAAATTTGTTTCTTTACTAAATTAGGTCGAATAACCGGTTCCATCTGTTTATGACATTATTGACATTTAGCATTCATTTGACGTTTATTTTTGACGTTTACGATAAATTTCTAATCTTAAATTTTTCATTGTAAATTATCTTTATCTAATCAATTATCGAAATATATTCGTAAAGTCGTTATTTCACAAAATTAAATATGACAATGGGCGATGAAACTCCAGTAACTTCTTTAATTTTACCCGTTTTAATACGACCAATTTTATCACAGGTGAGAAATGAAAGATCTATTTTATAGCTTTTTAATATGTTGTTTTATAAAACAGTTAGAAAGACGTGATGTATCAGCTTCTCAAACGTTACGTGCTGCTCTATGGAAAGCGGAAACTTCATATCCTGGACTCACCTATGATCTTATCATGGGAATTATGGAAAAGGGAGACTTAAATGTTAATATGAATGAAAGTATATTGAGATTACAAGGATCGTTATCAGATGCTGATGTTGTTGAATACAGATTAAATAGATCTGAGGATGCTTTTCAAGAGTTAAATCGAAAATCTGCCACTTTAAAAAAGATTTTGAGTAGAATTCCTGATGAAATAACAGATAGAAAAACATTTTTAGAAATTATAAAGTAATTCGGCAATGTTTTAATATAAACAAAATTATCATTTATATTTTAGGGAAATAGCAAGTGCCATCAAAAAACTTTTAGATGCTGTTAATGAAGTAAATGCATTTATTCCTGGACCAGCAGGAAAACAAGCTTTAGAACAAAGAAAAAGGGAATTTGTGAAATATAGTAAACGTTTTAGTAATACATTAAAGGAGTATTTTAAAGAAGGACAGTAAGTTTATAAAATATTAAAATAATTTTTTTATTTATTTATATTAACTTTTTTAAGGGCAAATTCAGTGTTTGTAAGTGCACTTTATTTAATTCATCAAACCAACATGATTATTTCAACGGTTAAGAATAAATGTGAATAACTTGAGTTCAAAAAAGATAACTTTATGATTATTTCAAACCTATTATTATTGTTAATTTTTTAATGAAATTATATTATTCTATTTATAAGATTATTAATTGGAAGTGTAGAAATTTCTTTCTTTGGGATATTCTCTTTAGGAGTACAAATGTAAAAAGAATTTCAAAAGAAAAGAACTATTTTTTAGTATATAGAGAGCCTATACTAATAATTATAATACAATTATTGTATACTTAATGGATGAAAGTAATTATTATTATAAATTTATTTGAATTGAACTGGAAAATATATCTATTGATGAAAATCTAAGCTTTTTCTTGTTTTTGCAATGATTAAAATTCTCTAATTCTTATAATTATTGAAATAATTAAAGACTAAGACTAAGTAAGTCTAATAGAATAAAAGTTCATAAGTTGAATCGATGTATAAATTTCTTTATTAAATCAGTGCTACATATGTTTCGAATCTAATGATTCTTCTTCTTTGGTACGACGTCAAAAATTAGGTTGTCTGATGGAATTGAACATTCAAAACCGTTTGTAAACATTTAAAACGCGATTAATACCTATCGCGTTTTAACCCTCGATGTGATACCTGTTTTCTTCGTAAGATTGTCGCGTTGTGATTTTATTAAGAATTAAATGTTTTACAAACGGTTTTGAATGTTCAATTCCATCAGACAACCTAATTTTTGACGTCGTGCCAAAGAAGAAGAATCATTAGATTCGAAACATATGTAGCACTGATTTAATAAAGAAATTTATACATCGATTCAACTTATGAACTTTTATTCTATGATTTATACGATGTACCTGAAATCCTCTATATATAAAAGTAAGTCTAAGACTAAGTAATTAATAAATTTAAAACCAGTAAAAAGTACAGATTGATTAATTATGTCAATTATCAAAAATTGGTCGATCATGGATCAAATAAACCCTTATGCTTTAATCTTATAATTATATTATTCTATTCTAAGTCTTGTTTTTTAAACTAATTTAGTCATTAAAAAGGGTATAAAGAAAAAGTTGGTATAAAAAGGAAAATATCATTTCAGAATAATTTAAATTAACACTAGATTGGACTGAAGAAATTACAGAATTCTTCCAAACTTTTCTTCATTTAAAAAAATCGATTTTTTTTTTGCTTAAAAGTGTTCTTTATACTGTCTAGAATGAGAATCCATTGACAGAAAACATTTGCGGAATGTTTTTCTGCCTAAAAAATTGATTTTTGTAACACCTCACCGGAAATTCTAAAACTTCTGTAACCACTTGTTGTTTCATTTTTTATCCATTGTATATGCAGGTATGTTGACCTTGTACAAAAAAGTTAAAAAAAAACAAAATATCATTTTTCAAAAACGCTATTGAAGGAAAAATGGAAGTGAACTCCGTCGTAGAGATGTTTCAACGATCCGAAAAAAAACATAATTTGAAGTACTGTTTTTACGTAGGAGACGGATACAGCAAAACCTTCAAAGGTATTATGGTCGCTCAGCCCTATGACAGTGTAATAGTAACCAAAAAAGAATGCGTCGATCACGTTCAGAAAAGAATGGGCACACGGTTACGAAATCTTAAAAGAAACACCCGCGGATTAGGAGGCAAAGGAAAATTAACAGGAAAATTAATTGATGAACTTTCCTTATATTATGGATTGGCTATTCGCAGAAATTGCGATTCCGTGAAGGACATGAAAAAACAGATCTGGGCTACTTTGTATCATAAAATTTCAACAGATGAAACTCCAAAGCATGACAATTATCCAGTTGGTGCTGACTCGTGGTGTTCCTGTCAAAAAGCGTACGCTTTGTCAGAAATCGATGAGTACACTCACAAGCCAGCAATCGGCAATGATGTTTTCAACGCAGTGAAACCTGTGTACGAAGAACTATGAAGGGAAGATCTTTTGACAAGATGTTTAGGGGGATATACGCAAAACAGCAATGAAAGTTACAACGCCGCGTTATGGTCTATCGCACCAAAAACTATTCATAGTGGCAAGAAAGTGGTTGACATTGCGTCTGATATAGCTGCTTGCAATTTTAATGACGGTCTTACAAGCATTATGGAAATAATGCAAGCACTGAAATTAATAACCGGAAGATCACGCTTTGACTTTTGTCATGAAACGGATTTAAATCGCATTGCTCGCGCTGAGCGCTCTATGACTGCTGAGACTAAAGAAGCTCGTAGAAGCCTACTGTCAGACAGAAAAGCTGCAGAAGATGAAAATAAGCTTCAGGAAGGACAGCTGTATAGTGCAGGAATCGCTGATTAGATGTATCTAGAAAAAATATACAATTTTTTACATTCGAAAACTTTAAACGCGTTTTTCCGGAAACTACATTTTTCAAATCTGTGCACACGATAACTTCCACATTTTTCAACGGATTTTCAAGATTTTTTTTTTCAAATGTTTGTATTATCTTATTCTAGGTAAGTACGTAGCCGTTTTTCGATATGTCTCAGATTCTCTGTTTTACAACCATTTCTATGTACGTTTTTTATCGATAAATACGACATTTCTTGTAAAATCGTTACCATTTCGTCAAAAATGAATATTTTTTAAAAATCCTACGTAGTTCCCTAGTTTTTGAGTTTACTAAAGTAATCATATTCAAGTTTTAATTATTCGACTTACGCGTTAGGAGAAATCCTGCGCACAGTATGACCCTGCACGATTTGCAAGCTAACATTAACGACATCTAGCGAGTGCAATTTTAATAACTGTTAATAAATAAAATATGTATTTAAAACTACAAAAGTGGCTTATTCACACCCTGCAACCCGTTTTTAGAAAACTTCTTTCGTCTGATTGCAAAAAAATTTAAAAAATATCTATTATTTTTGGGTCTTCAAGGTGGCATACCCCCTTAATAGAGCACCAGTTCCAACTAATATAACAAAAAATCCAATCAAAATTTATTTTGGGGTCCAGCATTAATATAAATAAAGTTCAATATCAATAACAAATCCTTAACCTTTTTGGCACTGCCAGTGGCATTTGCCATCATAACATTTACCGACTTCTACTTACTGTGTCTGTCCATATTCTTGCATTTAATTGAAAAAAGATACCAACACAAATGTGGAAGAAATTTTGCTATGCATATATTCATGGTAATTTTTGTTGATAATAGCAGAAAGATTACAGAACATTAACAAATAGTAATGTACAATCAAAGTGCGAAGTATGCACCGTTCGCCTTCACACAAGCCCACAGACCCTTGGAGAACGCAACCAATGTGGCAGACAGATACTCGACGTCGATATCGTCCTATGCTTTCTGAAGGGCGTACTTTAAACAGTCTAGATTCTTGTGGGATGTAGCACAGGCCTTGCTCTGAAGAACCGACCGCATAGAAAAGTCGAGGAGATTCAAATCAGGCTGGAAAATTGGTCCGATACTACTACTGAACCACCTTAGCCTTATGCGCGGGCGGTAAGCTCTATTGGAATGTCCAGGTGTGTATGTTGACTGGCTTTAAGGTAGCGCTTCCTTTATCAGAATCACATCAAGATAGTTCTGGGAGTTGGTCTAGACCCCCTGATTCACAAAAATAAGCGATATCTGTTATCTTTCGACCTCTTCCTCCAGAGTTCGACTCCATACAATAGCGCAGGCACCACCATTCTCTCTACACTTATCCTTTTTATTCTACCATTCGCCCCCCAATCCTTGCCTGCGATTACTGCCATTTTCGCCATCCTGCCGACTATCTTACCTCTCGCAAATCTCAAATGTTCTACGAACAAAAGACCTAAGTCATTGACCACACCTAAGTATTATCACCTTATTTAAGTGAGGTGACAATTTTTACTGTTCTGTGTTACACTAGATGACACCTTACCTTATAAAAGTAATTACACTCTCGAATGCAGAATAAAATAAGCTTTCGAATGATGTCAATTTTGACAATTTGATCTATCAAGTTGGCGCTGCACCTTGAAAAGTTTGACAGCTAAACAGGTGAAAATTTTGTAAACAAAACATTTTGATTAGTCAAATTCACATTTCAAATTTCATGTTGATCCGACAAGTACTTTTGGAGATATTTAGCTCTATCTGCTCTATATAGATATTTAGCTCTATATGAATCCTAATGAACACCTTGTGTATTTCCAAATGCTTCGCAAGGATGTAGTATCACCCCTATGCTATTCAAGATATATGTGTTTAAAACGCCCCTAACAAAATGGCGGTAAAAGAGTCAAAATATGGGGATCCAAACAGACATGACAAACTGTTTACACTGCACTTTGCGAACGACCAAGTTATATTAGCTTCGGAATATAACAAATTTCGGAAAAACGGAATATTTGATCATAGGAGGAAATAGAACCGACTTGTCAATCCAGGAAATTAAAACCTCAAAACCTACAAGTATATTAAAATTAAAATATTTGTAACAAACCGCATTTTGGGATTCGAAAGCGATTAAAAAAAATAATAAAACGCAATACAGGCAGAACTTTGTAATTTAATTACGAAGTTGCGTCTTGAGAACCGAGGGTCCAGACTAAATACTACGTAGGCGGTTCTGGCAGGAATGTGCCGAGGTGGCAGTTAGAGTAGATGGAGCAGGGAAGAAATGAAGAAAAAATCGGGGAGTCGGTTACGGGATTGGAACAGAAAAGCATCGGGCGAAACCGGGAAATTAAAGTTTTTGTTGTGTTTTTAAATTCGAGTCGTGCGATTTGAACTTATAGCAATTTAGTTATAAAATTCGTTGAATTGGATTCTCTTTCTTCGATGAATATTTTACTTTAACAAACGGGTAAGCGTTATTAAAATCTTAAACTTCCGATTTCTCATTGAACCTGCTAACCACCTCGGCAAATTTCGTAATGATGTTGTTGAATAGCTTATGTCATGTAATTTTTACTTTTTAAAACCTTTGTCAGTTGTTTTTTTTTATATATAATATAATACGTTCTTGTTCAAAAATAAAGCAAACTTATTCTTTAGCAGTGAAATTTCGTTTTCTTTCAATCTATTTTTATTCTTAATTTCAAATTACTGCCGTTTGCTTTCAAGTGAACGAATGCAGTGTGCCAAACCCTAACTCAGTCATTGCTAGCTATCAAGAAAACGGTAGTGCGTGGACAGTTGGGTACGCGAGCCGCTCCGTGGACCTAGCTAGGAAACCCACTACGGGAAACGAGAAGTTCTCGAGAGCTAGTTTGTGACATATTGAATAGCAGTGAAGATAATGATGAAATTGTAAGTAAAATTGGGCAAATGAAAGCTGCTATCAGACAATTAAACGGTGTTTTATGGAGTCAATTAATAACCAAGCGAACTAAAATCTGAATATACAGTGTGTCCGTAAAGTAACGGATATAGGCGATAAAATCATAATAAGCGGTTTATGGAAAAATCCCTGAAACGGGTCTAAAGATTTAAATTTTTTCCGCCATTTTTAAACCAGTTATGACGTCATCGATATTTTTTTCAAATGTCAATCCTCCTACTTTTTATTACGGAATATAAAGGGGATTTTTTTCGGAATCTATTACAGTCAATATTAATATTGATTACATAAGAAAATTTTCGAGAAAAATTACTTTAAAGTTTAATTACTTCAAATGTGTATAATGATAAAGATAGCAGTAGCCATGAGTAACTATGGTAACCAATTATTTTAAACAATTCCCTGAGTGTCAAAAACTGATTTAGTAAAGCTTTTTGAAGTGTGGTGGCGCGCCATTCTGTTGGAATAACTGATGTTGGAATTGAGTTGTGTCAACATTATCGGGATGGAAGGAATGACGAGTGCGTTTTCTATCACCGTACCCATACATCATTAATATTTGGATTATAAGTACGAAGACCTTCACGACCGCACAGTGATCAATTTCATGAATTTAGGAGGACAAAATTCATACCTCAAAGACCCAGCAATTTTTTCTGAATCTAGTAGGTACAGTCAATATTAATATTGCTTACATAAGAAAATTTTCCAGAAAAATTACTTTAAAGTTCTTGTACTTCAAATTTGTATAAATGGTAACCAATTATTTTAAACAATTCCCTGAGTGTCAAAAACTGATTTAGTAAAGCTTTTTGAAGTGTGGTGGCGCGCCATTCTGTTGGAATAACTGATGTTGGAATTGAGTTGTGTCAACATTATCGGGATGGAAGGAATGACATCGCTTTGAAAAAATTTAAATATCTCTTTCCAGTTAAGGTTTCCTCAAATCTTTTGCGGATATTGGGTGTGCGACTTTCTTGGCTAATTTGGATTTTGGGTACCGCAATACCGATAAATTTTTCTATTTACTTGTCCATTCAATGTAAATTATGTTTTTGACAAAGTCTTCGTCATCGTTGTCAAAATTGTTGTTGCAAAAACTACGATTAATTGCTCGTGAATCAGGTTTACTTTACGGGAATGATATTTTACGGGTTTTAAAATTGTATGAACCGTTGTTTTACTAATGTCCAAATTGGACCCAATACTCCTTACAGTAACATGAGGGTATTCTTGCCCAGCCAAAAATACGATTTGTTGAACTTCCCCTGAAACATTTAGTAGGCCAGACTTCGAGAAATGCTTCGAGAGATGGCCATGCTGTTTAAATTTAGTAATAGCTAGGCTCAACATACTTTGTCTAATGAGTTGACGATCAGGATATGTTGTATTAAAGAGGTCAACTACTTACTAAATCAGTTTTTGACACTTAGCAAATTGTTTAAAATCATTGGTTACCATAGTTACTCATGGCTACTGCTATTTTCATCATGTCAACAAATCTGAAGTAATTAAACTTTAAAGTAATTTTTCTCGAAAATTTTCTTATGTAAGCAATATTAGTATTGACTGTTTAGAAAAAAGTCTTCTATCATATTCCGTAATAAAAATGGGGGATTACCATTTCAAAAAAAAATACCGATGACGTCATAACTCACTTAAAAATGACCAAATTGCAAAAATTTAAATCTTTAGACCCGTTTCAGGGATTTTTCCATAAACCGTTTCTAATGATTTTATCGCCTATATCCGTTACTTTACGGACAGATTGTATAAGACGGGAGCGGAAAGTATAGGCACGTGTGGATCGAACTATGAACCATGAATAAAAGTAGCAAATCAAGAATAAACGCCGCTGAAACTGCCAGAAAACTAAGATGGATCGTGTGAATACCGATATCATAAAGGAAATGAGAGTACATACAGATTAGCACATTGGAAATCATAGAAGTAAAGAGATTATGATGGTTCGGACATGTTCAACGAATGAAGGATGAAAGATGACTAAGGAAAATGATAAACTGAATGCCGCCAAAGGGAAGAAAATGAGGAAGACCAAGGGGGTCGTGGAAAGTGGAAGTTGGGGATAATATGGAATCGAAACGATTAAGTTTCCGGAAGAACTAAATTTATAAACAATTTTTTGTGAAATTATTTGAGATAACAAAAAATAAAACCGACATGTTTCTGCTCATGACAATATCTCGAACCGTTTTCAAATTAGACAAGGGGGGAGGTTACTTATGACGCGTACTGTATATTTCACATACAATAAAAATACTATTGTACTATAAAATAATATTAAACTGTTTAGAAAAATTGTAATTAATAATAAACCAAGGTTTAATTAGAGTTTTGTCAATTTAAATTACATTTGTGTAATAAAACAAAACGGGGAAAGCTATAACACGTGTTAAGCTTCGTTTAGGTTGCCATAGAAATAATTCTTCTTGAACAAAAATGATAAATAAACTACTTGAGAAAATGCATGTAGGATTTTTCTCTATCTGCTTCAATTTTTTGTTTCAGAAATATTTTGATAATTTCTATAATATTTATATCCAATATACATATTTGGTTATTAATTTAGTAACTATACATAAACGTGTTTTTTGCAGAAAAACAGGCAATATTATTTTTTATGGAAAGAAAAATGGTAAGTGTTGTACCATTTTGGAAACTTGATTAAACAGGTTATCTTTTAAAATAATTTGCCAAGGGTGTTGTGCTACTCCTTTTTTTAGAAATCGTGTGTCAAACTTAATAGACTTTAATTTGTAATATTTCCTGTATGCGAGAATGTAAAAATGAATATTTATCGATCTAAAAGAAATTTTAAAAAAACGTTAACCTTTGTTGTAGATATTTAAGAATAAACGATGACCTTTTCACGCTAAAATTACGGTTACAAGTTCCAACCGTGAGTTTCAACCTTGGTGGTTTTCTAATATTTCACACAGAAATGAATAAAAAGTAAATTATGAATCCGGACGATATACAACCTCAACATTTTCTTTTAATTTTATTTTCATTCATACATTCATTGCTCTCTTCTAAATTATCTTTTTACTTAATTATTTCTTCTTTTTGCCACCTTTCTTATCTTTTCCTTTCCCTTTACCTTTCCCTTTTCCTTTATCCGGTTTCATATCAGGTTCAAGAACATATTCCAATTCAAAACCAAAATTCGGTAAAGTTAACATTCTTACTAAGGGTAAATGACGAAGATAAAGGCGAAAGAAAAATTTTAACACTACTTCTCCTTCTTCGGGGGTAAAGAGATTCAAATGTGTTGGAGGAAACTGTATAAACAAAAAAAAACGTTTAAATGGAATATTTTAATAAAAGTTTCTTACAAATAAGACGTGGAACACTAAGAATTGTCTAAAGTAATTAAAAACGTCTTCAGGACAAACAAATAAATTGCTTGTAAAAAATTTATGAGTCCAATACAACATTGATATGATACTTCCACATTGTTCAGTATTAAATGTTGATCTACGACAAAAATTTGTTGCATCCAAAAGAAATTCCACTGCTATTAGTTTACTAAAACCAGTTGGAGATTTTCCTAATCTTTGCTCTAAAAATAATTTTATTTTTACTTTATTACTAGGTATCCTTTAATTATTTTTAATAAAATGTTTTGACCACCTAATTAATACTAATACCTAATATTTCCCTTAATTTTCCTCTATTATTAATCGACAAAAACTGTTCTAAATCTTCTTTTCCCATAAAATCCCAAATACACATTTGTGGCTCATAAATATCTTCAGTTTCTTGATACACTTTTAGTGACGCCAATTCTTTATTAATAACTGGAATAGTTTCTTCTTCTTCAACTGTTTCATCACCTTTTTTATCATCAGTTTTCTCATCTACTTTCTCTTCATCTTCTTTTACTTCAGCAATAACAAGTTTTTTAACAACTTTCTTCACCAGAGGCTGTACGGAACATGTCTCAATGATAGTTTCTAGTTGATTTATATATTTCGCTAGAAATATAACAGAATCGACGGTTTTACTCATTTTTATCTAATTATTTTATAAATATTTTCGTTTAATTAAAATTTTTTTAAAACATTTCGAGTTTTCGAATGTAAATCGTAAAAATGGTGTTATAAAATTGATTTTGAAATAATTTTTGACATTTGCGAATAAATTTAAATGATAGTTAAAAGTGCGCCATCTAGGGATCACATATTCTAAATTATTTTATATGTCAAAATTTTTAAAATTACTTTTATTATTATTAATGTATTATGTTTAACCTTCTAACACTAGACCTAGAACCTGAAAGAAAAATTTTTATTTTTTCATTCTGGTTTAGCTGTCTGAAAAGACGCGCAGCTAAACGACGAAATATGAGTTGGCTGACCATTGTTCTGGCAAAAATATACAAAATGATTTGATAGAATTAATGGTATCGCAAGTTAAATCTACAATATTATCCCACGTAAAGTATTCTACTATTCAATTATAGCTGACTGTACTCCTGATTAAGCTATAAAGTGCAACTCTCCGTAACATTAAGGTGCACTGACATAACCGAGGTCGCCGTAAGCATTAAAGAATACATATTTCATTCAAATTTTGGAAATTTATGGTACAACTGGTGCATAGTGATCACGCCCTCAATATTAACCATTACAGGGAACAGGGTTATGATAATGGCGGCAACATGAAAGGAAAAAACAAGGTCTTGTAAAAAAGAACCATGTGGATGTCACAATTATAATTTAGTTTTTTAATCTTTATTCGGTATACTTTAAAAATATTTACTTTATTAGCAGCATTAGTAAATAGATGGAAAATTTTAAAGCAGCATTTGAAAATCTGCACCCTTAAAAAATTAAGCGATACTCGCTGGGTATTCCGAATTGAAAGCGTTAAGGCGGTTATTAAGATATCAACTTTGTAACGTTCATGGTGAACCAAACGATCCTACGACATGACATGAAGCAACAACACTTGCAGAATAACTGAAAGACTTTAACTTTATAATTTCTCTTGTAACATGGTACGATGTTCTTTTTCAAATCAATGTTGTGAGCAAAACAAGTCAATCTTGATACCCAATATCGACTTCGTTCGTTTTACAAAAATGCTTAAAGAATGTTATTCATAAATAGCATCAGAACTAAATGTACAGTTAATTTTTAAACCCCAAAAGCAACTAAAACGCATTAACCACATTTTTGTAGAGTTTTAATAAGCAGCTTTTCTAATTTTAAACATATTTAGTTTATTAACAGTTATTCAAATTGCTTCCGCTAGATGTCTGCAATGTTAGGCTTGCAAACTGTGCAGGGTTAATTGGTGAGTAGGATCTCCTAAATCAAAAATCGAACAATCAAATTTCGAGTACGATTACTTTCCTAAACCCAAAAACTAGGGAACTACGTTGGATTTTTAAAAAATATTGATTTTTGACGAAATGATGCCGATGTTATAAGAAATGTCATATTTACTGATAAAAAACATGCATGAAAATAGTTGTAAAACAGACAACTTTAGATACATCGAAAAACGGCTACGTACTTTCCTAGAGTAAGATAATACAAACTTAAGAAAACAAAGTTTTTTTAAATCCGTTGAAAAATGGGGGACTTATTATGCGCACAGTTTGCAAAAATGTAGTTTTTAGAAAAAAACGTTTAAGGTTGACAGGAACGCGTTACAAAAATGAAGTTGTCAATGGAATCTCTTTCTAGAATTCTAGACAGTCTAAAATACACTTTAAACGAAATAAACCCTAAGGCACTAGCTGATTAACAACTAAAACTACAACTAACTCTAGTACTAGAATTAATACTAGATCTAGAACTAGAAACGCGGCTAAAAGCTTTTATTTAATTGAATCTGCTCTATCTTTCCTAGTTTCTGGGCTTTTTCAGGAGAATTAAATAAACATGAATGTATGGATTTCAAGCGTTGTAGTTTTATTAAATCAATTATATTTCTTATAATATTTTATAACGGTATTTATTAAAACGTTTAGTATTTTTTAAGCGTGTGATATGCTGTAAAACATTCAACTTTATGAAGTGGAACCTGCCAAAAATGACAAACTTATTTAGTTTCGCTCTTTTTTCCTTTCGAGCTGCATACTTTACACGGTTTTTGGAGATATTGTTTCTTCCCTGTTCCAACAATTTGAATAAGGGTGGAGGGCTTGGAGTTCTTCTTGTTGGTTGAAAATTAGTAACAGTTTCCTCGGAATCAGAATAATTTATTTGCTGATCGGTAATCTCAAGATCCTTGCTACTTCGTTTAGAAAAGTACTGTAACTTATACTAATTGTATTTGTGTTTAATTTCTTATAAGTTACTAAGGAATTACCATAATACCGCAATATGATAGGTACTGGTCGGCCCTATCTATACCTTTCATATATTTGTTACAGTCGTTAATGCAATTTGATTTACTAATATCTCTTCCATCTCTAGTCTTTTTATCAACGACTATCATGCTGGGCATCATGAATTGAGGATATCATACGAACTTCCCTCTTATCTTTCCATATTTGTAATAAGATATCACCTTTTCGCCGGTATACATATAGTTACACCTTTTTTAAAATTCTTTGATTTATCCCTCAACTATAAAGGAAGGCCTCAATTTTGACGAATAGTTCCACGAACTTTCTTTGTAAGAAGGTGTTCTGCTATATGTACACTAAGTAAATTCGAAAATTAATTATACAGGGTGTCACACAAAAAAACGCCCCTGCACATTACAGTATAACACAAGTGACTTTAAGAGAATGTTCGGAAACTATTTTAATGTTTTTCTATGCTACAATTACAATTAATCTTGATGTATCGTACATTAGTGGATTGAGAAAAAGAATTTCTATCTAATAGCGTGAAGAAAAACATACCGAGCAATTTGAAAATGAAACTTGATAACCGCTAGAAATTGAAGATAGTATTCATCAAACCTTTTCATTTGATACCTCGCTCATGAAAATCGGAAGGTAAATGACAGAGTTACAGCTTGCGGCATTCTTTTCTCTGCTAAAATTGCATTTAAAATGGATGTATTGTACATCAGTGGATCCAGGATCAAATGTCTATCCAATGACGTGAAGAAAAATATACGCAGCTATTTGAAAAACAAAATTTAATAATCGCTTGAAATTGAAGATGGCGTTGGAAAAAATTTATTTGTAGCATGATTTATAGTATTTATAAAACCATTTCATTTGATACCTTTGTCATGAAAATCGGAATGTAAATAACAGAGTTACAGCTTGGGGCTTTTTTTGTGTGACACCCTGTATAACCAGTTTGACTCTCACAAAGCATTCTAACAAGTAGGCCGTATTTATTATGTTTATTAGGGTTATAAGTTCTAAAACGCAGTCTTCCCCTCCATGGGATTACACCTATATCTATTGAAATCTATTGATTTGGTTTATAAACGGTTTTAAATTTTTCAAGGAATTAATTTTGAATTGGTTCTATTTTATGAAGTCTGGTGGAGTTTTCATTTAAAAGTGAGTTATCATTAAAATGCCAAAACTGTATGATTTGCAGAAATGGATCTCTACTCATTACTTTTGAAAAAATAGGCATTTCTTCCAAAGGATCGTTTGAACAGTAATCTTTCAAAGTATTTTTCATAGTATGGTCCATTAAAAGTATAATTTTTTTCATTTCATCACTTGTAATTACGGTATTTTTTTTTTATTTTGACGAACATTGGTATTTGTGTTTGGTTTGTGTATAATACAAATTTCTCCGCCATCATTGCAAACAAATTGTCTTTTATAAATAATCCAACGTACTCAGAAATAGACTTTGGATTACTGGGTATTTTTTGTAGGTACACCAGTAGAACCAAGAAAAGGTTCTAGAGACATTAACTTGTCTTGAGGTGCCCATCTTATTTAAATCATTATCATCAAATTCACGCTCTGAAGAAGGTAATCTACGCGCATTTTTTTTCCTGAGAGAAATACATTCACTGTCATCACTTGAAACTTCACTTTCCTCATCCAGGTTCTCAAACTCAGCATCACTTCCGGATAAGTTATCCGTATAAATTGTCTCAGCTTCCGCAGAAAAGTCTTTGCTGCTTGTCATTTTTATGGTTATAAAATTATTTAGAAATATTTCCTAAAATTAAAACTACGCCGGAGGATCAACAAGCAGATAGTGCTATAACTAATAGTATCAAGAAAAAATAACAATGTGCGTAAAAGAGAACCCTAATGCAGCAAACTAAAAATTTATACGAAAACGTAGATCTACTTATCCCAAAAAATCGTCGATTTTTAGGTGACCCTGTTATTCGTGAATTATTCCTTATTATTTATTAGAACTGTTATTATTGCCTGTCAACAATGTCGAATATTTATATCCATTTAAATATAGTCAGTTGAAACGGCTAGTCAACAAAAGATGGCGATAGTGCGCAATTAGAAATTTAAATGGCATGAACTGATAGTCCGCGTGCGTGTATTGAAAGGTTAATAAATAACATTTGTTTCTAACGTCTTTTGCTAATTTTTTGTTGAATCAAAACTGTATGCATCAAAATTTTCATTTTGAAATGAAAATGACATAATCGATTTCGTGACATTTTAGCGGCTAAATTCAAATGACAATTAGCGCGTGCGCCCTCTCACAATCGACCGCTTTTTTCTCCACACCGACTTGACGTTTCGCGTGCATTTTATTATCCGAGACCAGTCTCTTCGTTCGAAGTGAAAATGGCAGATGTGCTTGACGATTTAAGAATGGATTGTACCAATAAAGATGAAATAATCGCCAATCCAGAAGAGTAAGTAAAATATAATTTTAAAAACGTTTTACATAAACCGATTTCATTTTTAAACAAGGTAGGTAAATTACGTCTTAGAAAGTTCTAGAATACATGCTTTATGTACCGTTGTATTTAGGGTTTGTTTGGAGCTTTAAAATTAAAGTTTTAAACATGTCAACCGAGATACATAATTTAATTAAGTCGATTTATGTTGTAGTTACGTTAATATTGAATTTTTCAGTTAGTTTTTTTTTTCAAGTATCGTTCTAAGAATTTACGTGATTGAAAAGGTTGTGAAACGAAACCGATTCAATTAATACCTGTTTAAATGATGCAAGATTAGACGTTCTTTTTGAGATGTTTAGTAATATTATTATAAAATAATAGTGTCAATTCTTGAAATTAAGAACATGTAAAATCCAGATAACGTGAGGTGTCATTGATTGTTAAGGTCAATATTCTCGTTTTGCAATGTCGTCCACGTGTAATTCTTTTGTATATGCCTTTAAAAACACAAGTTTTCTCGCAAATAACTTTACTACATTTCATTTTAAAAGAAATAATTTCGACGTTTGTAAAAAGGTTGTTTGGAGTACTTTGATTATTCTAATCTCTTTATTTCAAGGTTTTTTAATCAGATAATATAGACCTTGCAATAATATTTATGTTCGTCTGGTAGGTTTACTAAAATATTTATTATTAGGAAATGATTTTTAAGCTATTAATAAGGTTATGAAAAGAAAATGTCTTTGTAATAAAAATTTTTATTTTTTTAGTGTTTAGAAATATGACTTTACAATGTGCTGGAAGATTCAGGTAATGTGAGATCTTATTGGTTAATGTAAAGGTCAATATTCTCATTTTCCATTGTCGCCCACATGTGATGTTGTTTTGTGTATGTAAAGGTTGCTGTCTTCTCCAAATAAAAGATTTTTTAATCGCTATATTCATAAAGAGGGTATGTAGAGATTGTAAAGTGAATAAATTTTTATAATACAGCAATGTATTTTTATCTTTAAATTTTAAAAACAGTAAATGATGTTAAATGAATCTTCTTAAAAACTTGTTTTCTAATTACACCGAGTTATTGAATTAAACAGGAGAACCTGGTCAAGGATCCTCAATATGATACCGGTTTATTACCAGTTACAAAAATAATTTTTATTAGCTTGTTTATTACACTTATTAGTCATACTTATTACATACTTAATTGGTTGAGGACTAGCAACACATATACCTAAAATAAAAGAGTATGTACATGGTGTTCCAAATTAGTTGTCCGCATAGGCATCTCCAAAATTAAAAGAGATAGAAAAAAGTAGCTTACATGTCATGATTTCGTTTTTCAAGAAACTGCTAATGCTGAAATAATATTTATAAATACTTTACATGTATTTATAGTAATCAAAATCTTAATCAGTCTTAATAATCAAGGGTAATCCAACATTCCAATTAAAATACATATTAAAAGATGTAGAGAACTTAGCGATGACAGAGAAATAGCTTGGAGAGTTGTTTGAGTTGCAATATTCTTCTTCTCTTTGCAAATTTCTTTATAACAGCCATAAGCATACGTTAGGTTTACATTAAATTCTTTCAAAGTTAATGTCATACTTTTCAAAAAGTGCTGTTGCTTTGCGAAGCTGCTCAAATGCTTGTAAAATAACCAGTTTTTAAGCCATTGACAGAATTAGGGGTACCGAAATGAAAAAAGCTTTGGAATTAAATATTCTAAATTGCCATTACAATTTTTTTAATCATGAGTCAACCTCATAGTGTACTCACCTACATGATTGGTAAATTTAACAATACTGTTGAATATAACACTCAGTTAGCATATCAATTGACGCTAAATTCAATTTATATTATTTGTTTTTCGGTAATTTTATTGCATTATATTAGTTAATGTGGTTATTATCTGAAATTGCACAATGCAAGTATTCGTTCAAATAGAGTCGGAAAATCAACATTACTTGAGAAAATCAAAATTTGATAATATGCTGTTATACCAGGTGAGGCATTTAAATTGAGACGACCTTATAACTCATAAACCGTCAACTGTATAAAAAAAGTTTCAATTAAAATTCCTTATATGTTGGGGGAAAATATTTTGTATAGGTTTTGTTAAGTCAGTTTTTTTAAATGGATACATACAGGCTGCCCATTATGTATGGAGTATAGTATTTATCTTGGTAGGTATCAACTTTATAAAAAAACATTTTATACATAAGTTGTTTAATATTTTATTTGCCATAATAAGACAGTATTCAATTGTTTTTATTTCGGAAAATAAATGAGCAACGAATAACACTTGAAGTTGTTTAAATGGTAATGTACCCTTTCGTTAGGGTTATTTGATAGGGATTTCTTTTCTCTTTACGATGACGTCAAATTTTAGTACCCTTATATCAAAAAATTTTTGAAAAAAAAGGTAATTGTTTATTAAGAAAATTTAACTAATAACATTAACCTAGATATCCAAGATCGTCAACTACCTCGAATTATTGGAGATGTACACTAATTTTTAGTTTATTTGTTTTATTTTGTATATACATACATAATGGGCACCTGTATACTTTTCCATCACTATGCTATTTTATGACAAAATAAATAACTTTTATTTGACATTTCTTTTTACTTAATGAATATTACGCATAATAAAAATTGTGCGGCTTTTTTAGTGCAAGCTTTGAGGTTTGGAAAAATTAAGGCGGCCATAACAGGTTATAGTTGTTTCAGTACTCATATCTGTCAAAATTTCCCTTAGTAATAAATTCATTCGTTACGTTTCATTACGCATTAAAACACATACGATCGTTTCTGGACAAGCAGCCAGAGATATCAATGTTGCTATGATTACTTAACTTCCATGACAAAATAACGACTTTTATTTCAAACATTTTGTTATTTATCGTTTATTTATGGATAAAATGTCAAATAACACTTTAAACAAACATAACAAAACAAATGAGCTTCACTTAAAAATAAAATTCTAAGTACTGCGTTGGGATACCGCATAGCTTCAAGAAATAGCAAGAGAAGAAATATGTGGACTAGAATTATTATTTAATTATTGGATTAGAACAGCAGCTTAAACGTTGATTGTATTATTGGGCACGTTCAGTCGGTGTCAACTGTTAAGTTGATATATTAGCAGTCGCAGCTGAACGATACGCTAAGTAAGCGCTGTTACGCAGCAGTTTAGTAAATATCTCAACGTAAGTAATCTACGCTTAGTTTGTCAGCGGTTGTGAAATTGTAGGTTAGGATTAACATTTTTTGTTTTTCCCCTTTAATTTTGAAAACTGACAGAACTGCATTAAATGAAATGAGCCTTAAAATCAAGATCATCATCCACTATCTCTTGTAATAACACAAAATTTTCAAAAATATTGTTGCCCATAGTTTTAGGTTATGCAGAACGCTAATTCTCAATTGCTTGTTCAGCCGATTTCGTTCAGCTCATACAATTTATTTTATTCGATTTAATTCAACTGTTGACACCTGCTGAACGTACCCATTATCACCCGTTGTCGCCTTTGGAGCAGAATTTTTCTCTCTCCAAAGCTTTCCAGCCTTGGCTAATTATTTCACAATACGCACGGGGTGGAATGTTTCTGCCGAAAATATTTCTTCGTATAAATTTCGGGCAACATTGGTAACTCTGGCTGCTTCTCCATAAACGAAAATCGTTTCCATTTTTTCAGCAATCATATGTCTTCCATGCTTCATTAATGAAACGTAATGAATGAATTAGGTAGCTAAGGTAAATTTTGACAGATTTATGTACTATAACAACTGTTACCTGTAATGGCCGCCTTAATATTTCCAGCCTACTTGATGTTAATTGTGGTGTTTCCCGGTTGCACTTTAAATTTTTATTACTTATAATATTCTTTAAATAAAGGTATGTTTCAAATAAAAATTATTTATTTTGTCCTGGAGAATAATGATGAAAAAAATATATGTATCCATTAAAAAAAAACTTGTTTAACAATTGAAAGACATAGATGGCGCTTCTAAAATATAATGAAACCTATACAGAATATTTTTTCCCGTCATATGACGAAAGTTTTATCTGAATCTCTTTTCGATAAAATTGATCACCTGGTACCAGGTGTCCCGTTAAGTGCACGGAGCGGCAGTATGTCGACAATGGTAAGGTCTAAAGGTATGGGAAAACAATCCTTACCGGCAAAGTGGGCAAGAGAAATATCTGGAAATTATTTTGAAGTTCGTAATCCGGCCGCTAGAGGGTGTAACTACCATAAAGAAACATAAAATTCACGGCCGGTGTTCATTAAACTAAAATTAGATACTTTTGGGTTAAGCCGTGCGTCTCTTGCAAAAGTGTTTAATGTTTCGGATGCCATGATGTAACCTATTTCAGATACAAGTTCGAAGTGACGAAATCGGTTAAAGTCGTCTAATTAATTTTATTTAAATGTCTAATTGGCAAATTATTCACTTGTATTTATTGTCAAACTATAACCAATTTCGTCACTTCGAACTTGTTTCTGAAGAAGGTTGCAACATGGCATCCGAAACGGTAAATACTTTTTCAAAAGACGCACGGCGTAACCCCAAGTTTCTAGTTCTAGGTCTACTGTTAGTTCTAGTGATAGTGTTAGTTCTAGTTTTAGTTTAATTTTTGGTTTTGTTTTAAAGAGCATTTTATGTTTGTAATAGATATTTATGTACCAAGTCAGCAAAGTGATTTTCTATCGAACGAGTCCGAGTTTGCGAAGCGAGCGTGGCGAGTAACAGGCGAGTTTAAAGTATTTTATCTACAACTATTGAATTATCTATTCGTTATATATTTGATTTTTGACGGGTAATGACACGCATTACTCATGACTGACAAAGTGTTGAATAATGAAGCTATTATTCCACAGTTCTGACACGGCCTACTAATCAAAACTTAAAATTTTAACAGAAATGACAGTTTTCTTATATTGAGGTTATGTCTGAAATGTCTATCAAGTTTATATTTTTTCCTTTTTTTGATTTTTGTTTCA